TTTTTTTTTGGAAACAAGGAAACGTGAGCTACTTATTAACCACTCAGTGCCAACATGCTGAGTCACTCAGGGCAGACTCCCGTTGGGTACGGGTTTCTTTCCACAGAACAACTTCAAACAAATTTGTCCTGTTTTCAACCTGGTAGATGACTAGCAAAAAGAAAAATGAGCCACAAGCACATTGCTTGTGCTTTGTCAAGACACAAAGGGCCAAACACTGGCTCTGGATGTGCAGCCACACTGTCCAGCAGCGGGGCGTGGGGCGGGGGACAACGAGTGCATTTCGCTTGGCCTGCCTGCTCATCCCACTCCTGGCTCAGCTGGATTCCAGGCTTCATAGAAACCAGAGGAAATGGTCCTGTTCCCAAACACAAACTATTTCCTTCCCCCGATGACCTGCTCCGTGGGAGCCCCGCTCTCACTTCCGCTTCAGTTGAACAGCCCCGGCACAACGTGCAGCTTACCCAGCATTAGGAGCAGGGTCCGTATTTTGATAGCGTTTGTTGGATTCAAAGAGCCTCTGACGCCACGGTTAGGCGGAGCAGATTTTGAGCGAAATGGTAACATTTTTGTTTCGCTCGCTTACACAAATGCAGGGTTTGTTCTACGCATGCGTGGGAAGATGAAAACAACGGCGAACAGCACCGTGATGTGTTCCACCACTTCACCAGTTCGGTTTAACGCAACTTCTGATATGTATTCTACGTGTTGCAGGACTTCTTGGTTCATGGGAAACAGACTACTGTTTTCTAATGAGGTAGAAACTAAAGATCAAAAGGGAATGTGCGTTTGGACGACATGCTAAGATAATAGCGCCATATAAGTGGCCTGGCATGACAACTACAGCAGCGTCAAGATGTGTTCGAGGCTCGGCAGTTTCCTGACAATGTAGCCTAAGGCTGCATTCACAACAGTCCCGTTTAGTCCGCTTTAATTGAGCTCTGGTTCGTTTGTCTAGAAAATCCAGTTGCTTTGGGGAGGTAACTGTTCAATCAAACTCTGATGGGAACCAAGAAGCAAACTCTGGTCCACAAAAAAAAAACCTCGTTGGCATTCAAGTCCAACGAGGGTTGAATGCCAAAGGACCACTCCGAAAACAGGAAGAGGACTACAGCGCATGGATTATGGTTAAATAAAATCAAAACAACTGTGCGAGTCCAGTGCTAATGGGAGAACTAGTTGAGTCATTTGCCAAGGATAAACGAGAAATCTTACAACTGCTAAAATCCACTTGATTTTGTTTACATTTAGCAAAGAAGGAAGATGTGCTTGTGTCTCATTCAGAGGTTTTCTTGTAGTTTCCTTCTGTAGTTCTTGGGTCAACACCACCACAGGTGAAGGGGAGGGGGGACAAGTTGTTCAAAGGGTTTGGTTATTTGACATAGTTCAGTGTAAAAACTTAACATATAATATTGTAAGAAAACCTGCTTGAGGCAACAAAAGACTTGAAACTGGTGACTGGTTCTAATTCCAGGTGACTAATGACCCTAAACAGAAATAGAGCTATTCAGGGAAAGGTTGAATCAAAGCATTTTATTGTGTTGGGATGGTGCAGTCAAAGTCCAGATTGAAACTCAAATGAGAATTTGTGGATAGACTTGAAAAATTGCTGTTTATAGACACTTTCCATCTAATCTGACTGAGCTCCAACTGTCCTGCAAATATGAATGGACCAAAGCATCAGTCTAATGTTAATCAAAAACAAACAAAATGCAGCTCTAACTCGAGTTTGATGCATATCAAAATGCTGAACCACTTCAGTTTACGCACTGATTTAGATTGATCTATCACAGAAAATCCCAATAAGACACACTGAAATTTACAGTTGATAAATTGTGGAAATGTTGAGTTAGAAACTGGCACTGCACTGAAATATGCAGAAAAATCAAAAGAACTCTGATTAAATTCTGGAAATGCCATGTTAACCTTGCTAAATGTTGAAGACTTGGCATCACATTTCAACAATAACCATCTCCTGAACTGCAGGTAGAAAGAGAGCAATCAGATCAGTGAAAGACGGCGCTATGTCTCCATATTTACCTCCAAGGCCAGGGCGGTCTTGTCGTAGGCGTTGGGCACCCTCTTCTGTATGGCCCTGGCATAGACTGGTCCATTCTGGAGATTCGGGAGGGGAGTGGGCTGGGCGTACTGGCTGGGGTCTCCCGTCAACGGAGCGCCGGACTGAGCCGCAGAGCTGTCCGAGTTCCCTGCAGGCGGCACCGCAGGCAGCCCGGCCCCCGCCACTGCGCTCGGAGACGCTGGTCTGAACTGCTCCACGTACGGGACTGGGATCATCCCCGTTTTTCCTTCAGAGTTCTGGGCATTCCACCACTGCTCCTCAGGCTTCTCCAGTACTCTGAGAATGTCCCCCATCCGAAACGGGAGATCCTCCTCGTCGTTGCCGGGGAAGTCGAAAAGCCCCCGGACGTACTCATCTTCCAGGCGCGGCGGGGCTTTGGCCACGCCTCGTGCGGAGCGGGGGTTTTTGGACTTGTTCATGGGACCTATCAAGGTGGTGGTGTCCAAGTAGTGGATTTTGTAGAACTCGAGCAGAGCGGGAAGAGACTCAAACTCCTGGTCACCAATACGAAACTTGTGGGGAGGCGAACCTGGTCCGACACAGGAGGAAGAGGGAAGTTAGAACAAATTTTCATTTACACTCATTTTTGTTTTCTTTTGGCTGAAACAACAGACACCTGCTCTGATGCACAGTCAGTGTCTGAGGTCTAAGACTGTCGCAATTAATCAATCGCAAGATAATTTAAAATGAGCTCAATAATTTACATTCAAATGATTAATATCTTTTCCAGAGGCATCATTATCCATTTATTTACGGTGTTCGTTGTGCTGTTGGATATCTTTCAGTTCCACTATTAAGCGTTCCTTAAAAAATTTAAGTTTGTTGGTCTCTGACAGGATGAATTTGAATTTTTACACCACTACCAATACCTCAAACATCAAGGTTATTGTTTATCGCAATAACTTCTGGGACAATTTATCGTCCAGCAAAATTTGTTATCATGACAGGCCAAGCGAGGGCCTGAACAGAATTTTCTTGTTTGCCTTGTTATAAACATATAACTATAATTTGAATGCAACTACAAATTCAAAGTTGAATTTTTTTAAATGACCAGGACTCCTGTAGCGTTTTGGTTTGCTTGTACCTCAGGCTGGCCCTGCTGGTTTGTTTTGATATACAACATATAGACCACATGTCATGAAAAGGTCAATCAAAACTCGTGTCCAGAACTTTGGTTCTTTCCACAAACACTTTGAATCCACTTGTTTTGGTATACATTAATCCTCAGTTCTTCCAAACTTGTTTTTTTTTGTTGTTGTATATTTATTACATACATTTTAAATATCCAAACTACACAAACAAAAACAGAAGAAAAAAAAAAGAATGATGAAGTCTGTCAAAAAAACCGCCCTTCAAAAAAAAAGGCCTAGTTGAGATCAAAACACCAGACTGAAGAATTGTGTCATCCAGTTTTTGGTAGAAAAGAGAAAACCTTTAATCTTTCATGTATTTAGTTAATTTATTGTTTATTGTGACAGGCCTACTAATTACTATCCATACCAGATGCATAGCTTACCTACCGTAACCCAAACAAATTTGATTTAGAACAATAAAATCGAGGCATGCGTCTAAATGTTATCATGTCTGATCACAAACCATGAAGTTTGAGGTTGTGTGTAAATTAAAATGCATTCTTGAGCACCCCAAATCCTCAAGAATGGGCCGGCCCTGTTGATGATGAGTTCAGAAGTACAACATGCGAGACTGGACTATTTCTGTAACTAGTCATGATGTTGGTGATTTCCAGAGTGACCAGGAAGCATCTTGGTTTCCTTATTTAACGTTTTTCCCTGAGAATGCTGAGGGACAGGTAGGCCTGTAGCAATAAAAGATAAATGAGTTAATTGCTTGATAAATTAAAGTGAACTCAATAATTTTCATTTGGATGATTTATCGCTTTTTCTTTTATCTCTCTTGTTCTCCCAGAAATTGTATGAAAAAAGTCTTCATTGGTCTCTACTAGTTTTAAAAGACAATTTTGTTCACATAGACTTTTTAATTGTTTCTCTTGTTTTGTTTATTTATTTTGAATATTTAAAAAGGCTTCCAGTTAGAGTGGTAAATGTCCATTGCAATTTAAAGCTTATTAATCTTTGAGAATGTGTTCTTTCATTATTTTGCCATTACTATTACAGTACTTGAAAACTGTCTCAAAACAACAATATTATCATTTATCGCAATAACTTCTGGGACAATTTATCGTTCAGCAACATTTGTTATCGTGACAGGCCTGAACAGGAATCTTAAGCGTTAAACTAAGATAATATGAAGTTCTTGTCTTGCACTTTGTGAAGGTACATTTATTTCTGCAAATATTGCACAACCTGTTAATGGAACCATGTGATTTTTAAGTGACCCATGTCTAGACACAATGATATGCTACAACAGACCAGATTATGATGGACTAAAGCACGTCTCATTGTGCATGGCCATCTTTATTCCCTATGCTGGAAAAAGAGTGGCACTATTGCGCCTCTTCTATGGTGCAAGTCATGCAAGAATGGTCCCATCGGTGGCACCACGGTGCACCGAGCCCCTCCACGCCCCCTCTCCTTGCTCTTACCTGGCTCGGGCTTTCGGCTGTTCGTGTTAATTATATAATGCGAGACTCTGGAGTTCTCCGACACCGACAGCACGTAGTCGCCGGGGCTGGTGATGGAGTCCCGGACCAGAAACACGCCGTGCCGCTGCCCCTGCAGCATACACACAGTCTCCGCTCTGGTCAAGCGGCCCCAGTACCAGCTCTCGCGGTCCGACGCGTCAAATCTTCCGGCCATGATCACCAACACAAAGCCGAGGCTTTAGCCGTGGCCTTCCCTGCTCTCCCTCCTGTTATCCACAAGCGGAGCCTTCAACTCATACAAAAAACTTTAGCGCCGAGAGCACGTTCAGTAAACAGGCGACATCCGCAGCTGGCCGTGTGGGCTCCAATCCGCAGATAAAGGAGGAAAACCGCGCTGTAAAAATACCTCCGGTGTGGTCTGTGGTCAGCCCGCTGGTCTACCAATCATACAGCTTGTTTCAGAGGCACGAATGTTGCTACAAACCAGCCGCTGATGACAACTAACTTCAAAAACTGAAATGGCGGATACGGGAAAACAAAAAAGGCCCCACTCACCGGAAGGGACGTAGACTTTGGACGCAGAGCACGCACGACGTCAAGCTTCATACGTCACGATAAACAGATAAACGCAAAGTTATGTAAACGTTGAAATATTCTTGTAACTATGTTGTTTCTCATACTCTTTCACTGTGAAAATAATTTTTATATATCAGGAAATTTATTTTCCTTTTAAAATGTCAGATTTTGACTTCTTCACGACTTCATGGTCACGTGTTTA